TTGGGGGTTTAGTTACTCTTTAAATGGTTGAGTTGGACTGTTAGAAGTTGTATGAACCCTTTTGGCTGTGTTATTGAGCTCATAGTTGCTCCTAGATCTTGCTGCATAGTTGCACAACTCGCACCTTCTTTTTTTTTATCTTTTTATGTCTGTATATTTAGATATCTTTGCCATGTAAAACATGTTTTTGATAACTGGTACATAACTGTTTAGTACTGAGGACCGCTATCTAGAATTACTGATTCGTTACCATCATGTGATGACACCCCCAGGTGCAGAAGCGTGAGGTCTGCAGTGACAAGAAGAAGAAACCCAGCAAGTCAAAGGTAAATCCCCACTCTGCTGGGTTTTTTAACAAATGGTAAATACATTGTCAGACAGTGACATGCGTGATACTTTGTGTGTGTGTGTGTGTCCAGATGATGTGGAGACAGGTTCATGAGGCCCATGATTTGTGTATGTCGGTATGAACAGTTTCTGTATCAACCCCTCACATGTTGGTGGGTGTGCACTGTGGGCAGAATGTTTTGTTTCTACACAGCTTTGGGTGGTCATTTCATTTAGTGGAGAATAATATTAACTGGCCAGTAATACACACCCCTCACACACATTTATCATCATTTTGACACAAAAACTCATTATTGGTATACTTTTATCTTTCTAGGCCATCACTCCAAAGAGATTCCTTGCCATCACTGTAAGTTCTCAACAGTTTTATTTCCTTTCTTTTTTCCCCTGTATCAAAATGTAACTTCTCATCTGCCTGAAATTAGTTTTTTAATTTGTTTGTTTCATGTTTTGCATTGCAGAAAAGTGTCCAGACACCAGGTATGTCAAAATCTAAAATTAATCTGAAGAAACAATTTGTTTTATTTAGCCAAATGTAGTGGAAACCTTTAGCATCTCACCAAAAGCTACAGGGACATGGTAAATGTAAGCCATGAGGGCTTTTTAGGGGTGCCATAGTAATAGAGTATTGCACAATAAAGGTGGCAGACTTGAAAGAGACAGACTCTCAATCTTTATGTCCCAGTATAGGTCAAATTCCAAAACCACTTAATCCTAATCTCTTGTCAGGCCCTCTCTGCCTAGTAAACACCAAGTTACAAAGTAATGTGTAACACAGGCTTTCTGTTACAAAGCTGTCGTCTCAAAGCCAAAGCTGAGGTCTGAGAAAATGTACCTGATGATGTGAGACTTGAGAAAGAAGACATTATGTAATAGGGCAGGGCGATTAATCAAATTGAAACTACAATTCAGAATTTCAGTTACAATTTTGGCTTCCAACGATTACGAAAGATAATCAAGAAAGCGATTTTGTTTCAAAACTCATTCAAACTGATGTTGATGTTTACAATTGGAGTGCAGCTTTCAGCTTTATATGAGGTACTGATGGTCTCGTTCTTTCTGTGTGTAGTCGTGGCCAGTCCAGGCGGTCCCAATGCTGTTCGCACCAGTAACTTCGTCCTGGTCGGATCACACAAGCTCACCCTGTCCTCTATTGGGAAAAACAAATTTCCTTTGGAGAAGGTATAGCACAATCGTATATATTGTCCTCATGTCTATGCTCACACTTTGAGAGCACTTCAGTTTTCTTCTTTTATTCTGCATTTCATGTCTTGCCTCTGTCTCAACACACTTCTCTGTGACAAATGGCTCACTTGGATCAGTCATGTATTTGTGCACAGGCTTTACAGAGGCTCACAGTAACCCTGTGTGTTCTGCCTGTGCACTGTTCACCTGCCTTGCTATCTTTCTTTTAGATCAAATATGAAGGAAGTGAAAGAGAACTACTCAGTGGCATGTTTCATACCAAGGTTACTACTTGACCCTTTGTGTGTTTCTTGTGTTCTGTTTGTGTGGGAAGGAGGGTGAACGCACTTGAATATTCTTAACTGCATTGTTCCACTAACATCAGCTTTATCGGATCACAGCGCTGTCAATAACCGTCTTAAAAGAAACTTGCATCGTAACCTCTATTTGTTTAACCACATCCTGTAACTTTAACTTGTTTGAATTGAACCTTTCATGAACTGTCTGTACTTTGGATTCAAGGTGCCGTTCCTGTGCCCTCTGGAGGGCCACATCTACCTCAAGATGCAGTGTGAAGTCGGCTCAAAGGTGGAGGAGAGGGGCTTCCTGGTGAGTGCAATCACATCAAATCATCACCACAGATCCAACGCCGCAGCAGGCATTGGTTTGATGATACAAACATGTCATTTTCATCACCCTCCACAGACTATGTTTGAAGACGTAAGTGGATTTGGAGCCTGGCACAGGAGGTGGTGTGTCTTATCAGGATACTGCATCTCCTACTGGACTTACCCAGACGATGAGAAGCGCAAGGTAACTTCTACAGCAAAACTGCCGTTACAGAGCTTCTGTATGTTATGCCTCAGTGTCACATTTTTTAATATTTGGATTGGATTTTTATTTTAAAACAATTGTGACTTTTTTTTCTCAGCTACCATTTTCTCTTTCGATCATAATGCAGGGCTCCTATGCTCCTGGAGGACTAGTTTCCTAGTCAAGGACACACCTGGAAATTGATTAAAATGACCAAATATCCTGGAAATAATATATTTTAATTGTATTATAGCCTTTCACTTAGATCGCCTATGTAAACTGCAAACTGTAGTCAAATCACCAGAAACACTGCAGAAAGATTGGCTGTGGTGAGAACAGCAGAAAGCGAGCTAGCAGTCTCCCATAAACTGACCACCTGTAATGAACCTGCGTCATAAAACAAGGAGGAATAAAACTGGGTAAAATGTGTCAATGCTAGGCCTACTGGTAAATCATATGACTGTTGCTGTGCGCAAGCTCTGTCTGGTATTGTCAAGAAAACTCCTGGAAAAATATTTCATTAAAAGAGCGGGAACCCTGATTTAGTTTGGCATCATCAGTTATGTTTATTTTGACTATTTACCTAAAATCCTTTCAGAAACATAACCTTTGACAAACTGCCATAGTGATGACCATAATGCCAGACTCAAGGCTTCAAAACGGTACTCCACAAACCACTGGGTCCTGTCATGATAGGTTCACACTTTGCGTTGACCGTTTTTCTTTCCTCTTCTGTCAGAACCCCATCAGTCGCATCAGCCTGGCTAACTGCACCAGTAAGAGGGTGGAACCAGCCAACCGAGAGTTCTGTGCCAGACCCAACACATTTGAGCTCATCACAGTCAGACCACAAAGAGAGGACGACAAAGAGACACTGGTCAGTCAGTGCCAGAACACCATGTGTGTCACCAAGTAAGTTCCTGTGATTTCTATGTACATGTATCATACACGTCTATGTAAAAGGTTTATATGACCACTGAGTGTTTCCTGTGCAGAAACTGGCTGAGTGCAGACACTAAGGACGAGAGGAATCTGTGGATGAAGAAACTGAATCAGATCCTGGTGGACCTGCGCATGTGGCAACCAGACGCCTGTTACCGGCCACTGTAATGATTGCACTCTGTCACAACCAGCCCTCCTATCTCTTGGACTGTCAATATCAGTGACACATGCAATTACTAAGTGCAATACAGTATAAGAATTGTTAAATATTTCTGCGTGTGGACGTTTTACAGGAGATAAGTAATCAAACACAAGCTCCAGATCAGAGGAACGTAAATAAAGCCATACATTGAAACATTTCAGTACAGTATTTTGCGTAGGAGTCTGGGTTTGGCACTATATTTTATGCATTTCCAGACTGGTTTGATACCCTTTGATGTGTTGGGGTATTGTTGAGTTGCTGAATTATTATGTTGATGCCAATATTTTGTGTCACTGACACATATTGCATGGCTTTAAATTATTTGGTTTCGAAGCTGAAATCAATATGAACGGTGTTGAAATTACAGATGAATATTAATTTGAAGCACCAGAGTTTTATCACATTTTATCCTGCATGGCAGCACAGAACTACACTGATACATTGGTTGGTTTTTACTTTATATATTAGCTTTTATAAGTTTTGGCAGGACTTTCTCTTGTTTTTTTTCTTCATTGTTTTTTCATCCATGCACAGAGTTTTGATATCAGTTATACCACAGCTTTTATTCACTTTGTAATGTCTGTTCAGTGTTTATGTAACTGGGGGTAAGGTCTGTTATATATTCTACACTATACCAGTAATAATATTTGAGAGTAAAAAAAGTCCAACAACCACATATTGACCAATATATTTTTTTTTTATGCAAATGAAAAACATTTTTAATAAGGTTCCCATTTTTAATTTTAGAGTTCAGACCAACTGATACAAATGTAAAACAGTTGTCAGTGTTCTCTGGCGGACCAACTATGTAACAGCAACACTATATATGACCTTAAACACGCTTTTGGCTTTCTGTACCACAGACCTTTTTCACAGCTACCATTTTGACATAAAATAGTAGGGTAAACACACATGTACATTAGTAGTAGTACGCTGACTACATTTGACCTGAATGAAACCGAACCTCAGTTACTATCATTGGTTACACCTAGTTTACCCTACTATTTCATGTCAAGACTGCTGTGAAAAAGGTCTATTGGAACATACGCTGATAAAAAATTCTCAGCTGGCTTTTACTCCATGTGAACTGTGTGAGCATCGTATTAGCTTTTTTGGTGTTTTTAGCACCAAAAGTTGTTCTTATAGCCTGGTATATTCTTACTGGCTTCAAACTGCTTTGAAAATAATGTCAGACTCATTTCTCTTGTACATTTTGCCAGGAGTGCAGATTTATTATATTTTTAGGATTTTAAAGAGACTGGTTCCTTTTTTTGCACTTGCTCATTAAGCAGTAATATCTGAAATATGTGTTGTTACTACGTATTTAGCTTTGATGTGCTGCCTATGAAGCGTATATAACGGACTGCATTTTCATCATGTTAAAATGAATACAAACTTGCAAAACTAGACAAGATGTATTGATTCTTCACACCTTCTACTTACATTTTCATCCTAAACGATATCAGTGAGCAGGATGTTATATATGTTAGTGGTTTCAACAGATAGCTTTAATAGGCTTTACTTCTTCAGTGTCAGGTATTTGTCAATCAATGAGACTTCAATAAAGGCCTGCTTTGACCAAAATGGGCCAGGTTGCTAATGCTCAAGTCCTTTTTATTTTCATTTTATTGAAATGTAACATTAAATTGGATCTACCGTTTTGAATGGTTTTTCCTGAACACAACCACAAGGGGCCGTGTTCCAGGAAACACTGTTTGAAGGCGAAATGGACCTTGATGCATGGGTCGGGAAACCTACTTAGATGTATGCTTAAATTTTGAAGCTGCACTCATCGATACTTTTATATCAGCAATAAATGTAATGTGAAAGTAGATGCTAATCAAGACAAACCCACAAAGAAATAAAACCAACTGTAGTTCCCTTTAAAGTTTTTGTTAGTGTATATTGTTGTGGTTTTACAGCATACAACTTCAGTGTTTTGGTTCAGTCTCACAGCTCTCATAGCCTCACTCAGTGGCAGCTGATAAGCCCCCTGTATGCTACCTGTTCAGCACCAACAGATGAACACAGTTAGCAGCTACCTGGTGAACATAGTGAAGCATTTAGCAGCTAAAGCAATCTCCCAGCAAAAGCGCTGATAATATAATTATTATTATTCATAATATAAGCTCTACAGACAATACACGCTTTTAATTTCAGGATGGACAGGCTGCTAAGAAAGCAGTATACGGTTCAGTGGAAGCATGCAAGTAGGTCCTGCTTGAACTTGCTGGCTTGTTTGCAGCTGGAAGGCAGTTGGAAGAAGGGAGTGGACAGGAGCAAGCCAAAAAGAAAAGGAGGGAGGAAGTCCCTCAGAAAAAACTGAAGTGGAGGATACTCTACATTCATCTTAGAGGTTTCCTCAGGAGTGGGCATCAAACCACCATGTCTCACACAGCATCTTAGATGACCTCCTGAAAGGCTTATATATTCGTGGCCACCCTGAATTGCCTTCCACAGTTTGAACCCTGTTGCAGACACCAATAACCATTCCAGTTAGTACAAAGTCTGGCATGCAATATACATGTTTTGATTTTAGGGAGACACTTAACAAAGCAGCTGGAACACCCCAGAGAAATGTTTGAGTGCTAAAGGCTTGCAACTATGAAAGCCCATTTCCAAAAAAGACTACGTCATTATACTGAGAAACTTTCTCAAAATAATAACTTACTAAATCAAAATGATGAGGAATTTTCTGAATATTTTGACTTAAAATCTCAAAATGACTTTTGAGAATGATTTTGAGTTGCTCAATACTTTGAGAAAGTTTCTCTTGATAATGATTTACAGAATCCTCTGCAGTATATATCTTCCATATATCACTCACAAGAGCAGTCCTCTGCAACCAGACACAACCTTCCCTGCAGTCCTAACACTTGGTTCCTGGACACCAACATCTCAGGTTGAACACATCAGGTACTGAGAGACTGTTTGGAAGGTGGAGTCATCAACTTAATTCACCTGTAACACCAAGCAGTATACAGGGCATCAATGCTGTGACAGGATGTGTCTTAAAATTACAATTACACTAAGGACACTTTTCTTGACAATATAAGTTCAGACACTAAACAGTCTTAGTAACTCACTGCGTTTAACTCCTGAATGAACCTTTAAAAGTGTTCTCAGCGTGAAAATGAACACATTTTGTTGGTTTTAAAGGTGGACAAGAAGCAGAATATTTGATGGCCTGTTTGAAAATAATATATACAATCTAATATTATATTCAAGCTATGTTGTCTATATTCACCCAAATATATGAATCAACTATATTATTAATAGAAGTATTGATGGGGTGTCCAGAGGGTGGCATGGAGACTTTAAGGGGGTGGCAAAAATATATGTTGATTTAATCACAATCACATACATCAATATTTGCTTGGGTGTTGCCAACAAAGTGCTGTTATACTCAGCTGCAATGTCTGCTTAATGCCACTGGATGTCACTGCTTACTGCTTAGGATAATTCATCTTGCTTAGCAGGTATTGTGATGTTTGTATTTACAGAAAGATTGATGTAGTTACTGTCTCACACAATAATCATTGTGGTTGAATTTGGTAATATTATTTAGGCAAATTCACTTTTTAGTAAGTAGGCTGACTTTTATATTGCAGCCTGTTTCCTTTTACTATTTTGTTTCTAAAACCACACACTTACCCCACCCCCCAAAAAAAACACACATTGTGACAGGCATTCACCTTTCTGATGCATTCTCTTTGCTTTATTGTTTGCATTATTACAGTATCAATGTTCTCTTGCAGTCTTTACAGTACTGTAAATATCAAGACTCAAGAGTCAGACTGCTGAATAAGCACCAATGGAAGTGAGGCACAACAGAGGTGGGAGCTTTTTAAGTGCAAGTGGTTTCCTGTGGCCAAAGCAGTGTCACCATCAGGCACCGAGTTTGCTCCTATCCATGTAACATGCAAACGTTCCCCAAAACAAGTCAGAAAAACTGTAAACTCGGTTAAACTGAGCAAAAAAGCTAGTTTAAAAGGAAAAATACAAACAGAACAAAATCTACTTTAAATATTTTTTTCCTAAACAACAATTTAAACACACAACATTGTAAAAGTGTACTGACAGCAGCAGCAGCAGCGTGTGGCTGAAGCAGAGAACAACATGTAACCTGGGTTCTCTGAAAGAGTGACACGAGAAGAAAGACACATGGAGCCAAAACTCCCTGAACTATGGCATAAACATGAACAAATTATTACAGGCTTTGCCAAACATTTCCTCAAGCTGCAGCATCAAATAAATTAAAAATATATATTTTTAATGTGGTTTCCAAAGCATATTCCACAAACAAGCATGGCTCCATAGCATTTAGGTCTCAAAAGCATTTTTAAAAAAGTTCTGTCTAGGTAGAGATATTGCTTTGATATCCTATTGTCAGTGAATCTCCAGGAGAAGTAACACTGATTATGAAGTTGATTTAACGAATGATTTGACATTATAAACATGTTTGTTTGTTTTGTTGGAACAGGTCTTTTTGTACGTAGGTTTGTGCGGCTGGAGGGTCTGATGTGAGATCAGTTCTGCTCATACTGAACTTCTGAATTTAAACTCAATCCTATTTTTGAAGCTGAAACTGAATCAGCGCATTACTACGGCTACACAGTGGCAGGTTTTAGATGTGTAAAACATTTATTATTGTAAGTACAAACTGTGCCAGTTAATAGAAGTACTAATCTCATCTCATCCCATTTGCTGAAATGTTATATCCTAACAGTAGAACATGAGACAGGTAATTTGGTATTATCTGTGAATACAATTGAAGGTTCTCTGCTCTCTTCCTAGTGCTCCTAATGGCATTTGTAAGAATCCACCAGGAACATCAGAGCGGAGAAGATAGAAAGCACTTAGTTTGGAAGCTTAATAGGAAAGTTTGATTGTTGAGTCTCCATTATCCATGGTGTCAAATATCAGACACTTTGGGATTCCTGGGAATGGCATATCTTCAAGCTTCTAACCCAATAGAGTCTTTATATCTTTTCTCCCGCTCATGATTGGTTCTTTGTCGTTCAGTGGAGCTGCGGCGGATCTTGCAAATCCATTAGAAGAGACACATAGAAAGAAGCCAGAGGAGAACCTGATTGTTTCCACAGATTACCTGTCTCATGTTCTACTGTCAGGATATAGTGAAAGTTTATTAAAATATTAATTAATTAAATAATTAAATATTTTAAAGTTTTTTTTAAATAAAAAATTATGTACTGCAGCTTTAAATCTTTTACATTTAAAATGTCCAGTGTGTAACATTTAGGAGGATCTATTGTCAAAAATGAAACATAATATTCATAAGTTTGTTTTCATTAGTAATTAATTAATAACCTGAATATAGGAATCATGTTTTTGTTACCTTAGAATGAGCCGTTTTTATCTACAAAGGGAGCAGGTTCTTTTCTACAGAGGCTGCAATGGTTCTACAGTAGCCCAGAATGGACAAACCAAACAATGGCTATAGATAAGGCCTTTCACAAGTTTTGTGGCCACCAGTTTCTCCTTCGTGCTTCGTTTGGTCTTAGTCTAGGAGTTTGAGTTGGTTGCAATTTGCAATCTCACCGCTAGATGCCACTAAACCCTACACACTGTTCCTTTAAATGTAATCTACTTAATATTTGAGTTAACTTGATTTCATCAATTAAAATAATGAAAACAAATTCAAAGGTTCAGCATGAGCATAAACTCAAGTCAATGCAGTTCAAAAGCAATGGCACTTGATGAGACAATATGGTATTGCTATGCATGACTCAAAGATGAACACAAATCTTCCCATAATTCTGTCTTTTGCTTGAACAAAAGCTTAAAGTGCTTAAGATGGTGACATCCAAACAAAGACTGGATGGACCATTTTCTCAGCAATGTCAAGCAGACAACCTGTAATAGTCCTTAAAACCAGAGCAGAGTTTTGTCGCAGAAAACAAAAACAAGGAATATTATTTCTGCTGACTTCACATGCATTCAGGCTGACGGTGGACAGCACTCTCCTCACAGCACGGAAAAAATTCAGTCCAACAGAACGGCAAAAACACGCATGACAGTATGTTGCTATGGTGATGTCATATTGTTCACAAAGAATCAAATAAATATATTAAATAAAATGATTGTGCATATTATTACCGTATTACCATATTGATACCGTCTGTCTCAACCCATGTGAATGCAGCATTAGTCAGTGCAACTTCAGATTTGCTTTAATGACAAACTACAGTACGTTCCAGTGACTAATGACGGTGTTAATCGTGGCACTCATCTTTTCCTGTTTGTGCACAGGTCTAGTAAATCAACACGGAGAAACGCTTACTTTCAAATAACTGTACTGAAGTCTGAATGTCCACCATGTCAGTATGCAGTAATGAAAGCATACAAAAACACCCAGAGCAGAGATTTAGTACCTAATAAAAATGTGCAGCTTTAATCTTACATAAAAACAGTTCAGCCCCTGGGATTAGTTTGTGTTTCTCCCCCCCACTGAAGAAATGTGGAGCGTAAGGACCACAGTGCTCCTCTTTCCTTGCTCAGAATGGTTTCTTCTGTCAGCTGTTCTTGTTTAAGTCAGTGGAGGCCTTTATTGTGCTTTCACTGCTGCCAGTCTGGCATACTGTCTGTGAGCTCTCTGGTCCTGACCTGTCATTATTGCTGTAACAGCCTGTAGAACCCCCCATCACCTCACTGTAGGAGGGTGGGGGACCCTCCATCCTGGCATTGTTGGTTCCGTTGGGTCCTGAGTTACTGCTGCAGGGCTGCAGACTCTTGCTATGTATATAAATGTCTATGAGGTCACTATCAAAGACGGTCCGGTTTGGAGGAGCGCGCACGGCAGCTCGGATCAGCTCGAGCTGCTGCTCTGGGTGGCGGAGCTGTAAGGTGCAGGGACCCTTGTAGGGCAGTAGCTCCTCCCCGTCTGACAGGCAGATGATGGGAGGAAGGTTGATGATCTCCTGCTGCAGGTAGGGGTAGGTGGGCTGGAAGCGACACAGTTGGCGCTGCTGCATGAAGGGTGGCAGGTTGCTGTTTAGATGGCCACACATCAGCTGAACACAGACAAACACAGAGCCAGGAGCCCATTTAAATCACCAGACACAGGTCATTCATTTAGGTTAGAACAAGTGGAGTGGGTAGAGCAGCCCTCTCTCTCTATATATATAAATAAATGTTATATATAATATATAATGTTATATGTTGGATGTTGACAGTAACAAGGACAAAAGTGTCAAATAATGAGTAACGTATGTCAAAGTAATCCCTGTGAGCATAGAGCTCTGATTTCAGACTGCTCTGTATAGATGTTTCCAACGTCAGATTTCTTTATACCTTTATTTCTTTCTATCTGCTCCAGGCAGAGAAGGCTGAGCACGGCCACGAAGTACATGGAGTACAGTTATTCGACAGCTCTGCTCAGGTGTATGTGACACGGTCCGTCAAAGACACTAGGTAATGTTTTTCCTGATCATATTCAGTATTTCCTATTTTGTACTTACCTCTCCTCTCATTGTAGATCACTTCACTTCCTGCCCTCATGTGTTTTCCTGCCTTTTGTGATCGTTTGCCCTTCCTTGATTGTGTTCACCTGTGCCTAATTATGCCGCGTTCGTTT